ATTTAGCAAACACCGCAGCACGTTGTCCGTGGTAATTTTGTCACAGCCAACTGTCTAGTTGCATAAACCAGCAGGAGATTTCATAACTGTTTAGTTAGTAACATGGTTGTTAAGTGAATCTGGCTTCCCCATTGACTTTCTTTGTCAGAAGGTGGCAAAACAGACACTGTAGCCATCATAAGTATGAATCTGTGGCCAAGCGCCTGCATTTCGATCCCACCACCGTGGGGAAGTTGCAATGGTCATAAGTGTGAAAAATGGTCCTGTCCCCTTTTTTCAGTGTTGTCGTAACTTCAAATGGTCCCTGAATGAACTGTTGCATGTGGAAGACTACCTGTATAATTGGGGCAAGGGGTGTCTTTTAAAGTCAAATGTCAACTGCCTCCATTTTATAGTATTTTATGAAAATAAGTCACGTCAATTAGCAGGACTGAATCTGGATGTCTTGGATTTTGGGTGGTGTTGAATTTGAACTCAGATTTTTCTCCGTTAAGTGTTAAATTGGGTTCTTTATGCTTGGTTAGGAATGAAAGAGAAGTGTGTGTGTGTGTGCGGGGGGGAAATAGTTGCACCCACACCGAAACACACACGCATCCATTTTGCAGAAAACACCAGAGAAACTCACTGAAGTTCCTGCAAATCTAGAACCTGGATTGATCAGGGATCCCTCAGAGCCAGCATCACATGCTTAAAGAGAAAAATAGCTTTACTATGGTTTCAGTTATGTGCAACTGAGCCTGAAATAAATTAACTTGTTCATTGCAGCCAATGCCATGGAATCACAGAAGTCTTAAGTTGCTTTCAGGTTAGATCCAAATCCATGTGTGGAAGTTTCTCAGATTCTAGAGATGTTCTTCTGGAATTAAGGTGAGCCCCTTAGAGTGGCACACAACCGGACAGGGGAAATTTACTTTTGCCTTAAAGCAAGAGGCACCTTTTTTGTCAACTGAATTATTTTTTTCCCCAACTTCGGTCACCAAGTGATAGATATTTTTTTTGCCAGAAAACTCCTCCTCCTCTTATTATTCACCTTATTCACCTGTCTTCAATTTCATTTACGCGCATAATTTCTATATTACTATTCATCTTTTTTTAATGACTCCACAATCCCTTGCGGGGTGGAGTGTTTACTGGCCGGATACCCTCTGTTTAGTTTAGTTTAGTTTAGTTTAGTTTAGTTTAGTTTAGTTTAGTTTAGTTTATTGTCATTGCACCTCGTACAATGAAATCAAACACCATCTTCAGTGCACATCAAGACCATGAAAATAAACACAAACACACATCCTTCACCCTCCACACATTGAACTAAAAAACCCCGACACCACACCAACACTGCACTATACCGCAGAATTCAGAAGGTTTTCAGAGGTTTTCTTCCTGTTCTGTAAAAAGTTCTTTGTTGCCCCATCTTGACCTGCATTTCCTCATGTGAGGCAGTCCAGAAAGCGACCACTTCCTCTTTTTGGTTCCCAGGAATAATGGTTTTTTTGTCCCTTTAGACAAAATCTTCGGCACATGCCAGTTCTGAAAATAGCAATGTTGTTTAAGCTCTTCCCATTAATAATAATAATAATAATTTTTTACAAAGGTGCCGGCAGTTTCTAAGTGGATGGACAAAATCAGACGAGAAAGTTCCTGTAATAGCTCCACTGGTCACCAGGAAGTCTTCCAAAGAATTACTTCCAAAGGGCTTCTCTGGCAAAATAATTGCCTCCAGAGGGGTGACTCAGCCACGAAGTAGCTAAAACATAACTCAAAATAGTGGGTGGCTCTCAGTGGTGGGAGTCAAATAATTTAACAACTGATTCTCTGCCCTAATGATTTCTTCCAACATCCAGTTCACCAAACTGCTCAGAAAGTTAACAACTGGTTCTCCCGAAGTGGTACAAACTGGCTGAATCCCACCATTGGTTGCACCGTCCCCCCAAGAAGAGGTTCAGCCTGGGACAGAGTCAAGAGAGGAACCAGTCTGGACTCCTTAACATTCCCACAAAGGGTCTAAATCCAGCCCCTTTTGAATCCTGTTGACTCTTGTCTGGTGCCAACGTAGTGCTGACTGTTGGTTGACTAGATTGCTCTGTATAGGCATGATCAATAAATCATCTTAATTGGTACTTAATGTGTGGACTTGATTCTTCCATCCCTGACATTTGTTCCTGAAACCCTCCAAAAACCAAAGATGAATGCAATCCCTCAAATGAAAAAAAAAAAGAGCTTAGGGATAAGAGTAAGACCACCAGAAATGGTCCAGCCCAATCCAGGGGCTGGTGTGTCCACTGCTTCTTAGATCAGTGGCATGAGAAGAAAAGGTTTACAAGAACATTAAAAAATAATAATAACAGGGAGAGGAAGATAAAGTGAGTGTGTGTGAGAGAGAGAGAGAGACTCATAGAGGAAGCGCATGAGCTGAGTTCTTGCAATGCACTTCTATTTTCTTTTATTTATAGTTTCTCGTATAAGTCTAAGCTATTCAGCATCTTTAAGTAGGCTAGTTGCTGTGTCAGCTTTTCTGTTCATTAATAGAAAAAGAAAAATAGGGATCACAACCAAAGGAGGGCTAAGGGTTGGGAGAAGACCAGTGGTGGGATTCAAAAAATGTTACTACTGGTTCTGTGGGCATGGCTTTGTGGGCGTGGCTTGGTAGGTATGACATGGCTTTGTGGGCGTGGCAGGGGAAGGATACTGTAAAACCTCCATTCCCTCCCCATTCCTGGGGGAAGGTTACTGCAAAACCCAATTCCCTCCCCACCCCACTAACCTGCTTTCCAGCTCTGTTCTCCTGTGTAGGGCAACAAAAGAAGAGCCAGCCGATCAGCTGGGACTCGGGAGGTGGAGAAGAGATGGGGGCAGGGCTAGTCAGAGGTGGTATTTGCAAGTTCTCCAAACTACTCAAAATTTCCGCTACCAGAACTGGTCAGAACCTGCTGAATACCCCCTCTGGAGAAGACCCAGTGACTAGATAGGAGACAGTGTTCCCACGAGAGAGTGACGGAACCAATTGGAATTACAAACTTCAACCACACAGAATACAATAATTTCAGGCCACCTCCTCTATGTGCCTTCATGTACCCTATGTTACCTGCATGCAGACTGAGACGTGACCATGCACTCTTCCCAGGCTCATATGCACATAGCCTCCTCAACTGTTGGGAAAATCCCTGCCAGGCAGGAAGGACGGATTAAGCAGGGAACCAGCCTTGCATTCTTCTGTAGTGCACAAGAGGCATAAGCCTGAATCCTGCTAAGTTCCTTGGAACCCTATCTGGTTGTTGGTCACCACTTCACAGAAAAGATGTTAAAACTCTGAGGAAAAAAAATGCAGAGAAGAGCAACTAAGATGATTAAAGGCCTGGAGACCAAAACATATGAAGAATGATTGCAGGATGTGGGTATGGCTAGTCTAGAGAAAAGAAAGACTGGGGGTCTGGGGGGACATAATAGCAGATTCCAGTATTTGAGAGGCTGCCACAAAGAAGAGGGAGATCAATTTATTTTCCAAAGCACCAGAAACAAAGAATGGAAACTAATCAAGGAGAAAAGCAACCTGAAATTAAGGAGAAACTTCTTCACAGTGAGGACAATTAACCAGTGGGACAACTTGCCTTCAGATGTTGTAGGTACTTGATCACTGGAGAGTTTTAAGAAGAGATTGGGCAGTCACTTGTCTGAAATGATATAGGATCTCTTCTGCTTCAGCAGGGGACTGGCCTCCAAGGTTTATTCTGATTTATTGATGGGGAGATTCTTGTATTATAGGTAGAACACAATAAAGTTGTTGACTTAGATAGTTCATGAATGGCTCTGGTTGCTTGCGTCTAACGCTCACCCTGACATGAGGAACCCCCAGCAACCCTTCTTTGTACACAGGTTACCTGTCCCACTATATCTTGAAGTCAGCAAAAATTTCTGGTGCTAAGCGAGACAGTTGTTAAGTGATTTTTTTGCTCCATTTTACAACTTTCTTTGCCACCGTTGTTAGGTGAATCACTGCAGTTGTTAACTTAGTAACATGGTTGTTAGGTGAATCTGGCTTCCCCATTGACTTTGCTGGTCAGAAGGTCGTAAAGGGGGAACTGCATGATCCAGGGATACCGTCATAAATATGAGTCAATTGACAAGTGTTTTAATTTTGATCATGTGACCATGGGGATACTGCAATGGTAGTAAGTGTGAAAAATAGTGCTTAGCACTAGCACTTAGATTTATATACTGCTTCACAGTGCTTTATGGCCCCCTCTAAGCGGTTTACAGAGTCAGCATCTTACCCCAACAATCTGGGTCCTCATTTGACTGACTTTGGAAGGGTGGAAGTCAATCTTGAGTCGGTGAGAATCGAATTGCTGGCAGTCGGCAGAGTTAGCCTGCAATACTGCATACTAACCATTGTGCACTATGGAAGGAGGAGAGGAAGGGAGGGAGGGAGGGAGGGAGGGAGGGAGGGGAAGCAATAGCACTTAGACTTATATACCACTTTGCAGTGCTTTACAGCCCTCTCTAAGTGGTTTACAAAGTCAGCATCTCGCCCCCAACAATGGGTCTTCATTTTACCGACCTCAGAAGGATGGAAGGTGCTGAGTCAACCCTGAGATGGTCAGGATCGAATTGCAATATTGCCCTCTAACCACTGTGCCACCACGGCTCTCAAAAAATGGTCATAAGTCACTTTTTTCAGTGCCGTTGTAACTTCATATGGTCACTAAACCGACTACCTGTACGTTAATTGCATGAAATTCAAGAGTTGATCTGTGGCACTTATAACCTTTTCCCCTTCATCTCCTTTGCAAGCTTGTTCCAAAGATAAAATCGGTGATCAATTCATATGTGTCAAGTTGTGATCATGGAAGGAAGGACGGCCTGGGTGATATAAAATTCCACCGCCTGGCTAAACTAGCGAGAGACATGGGGGGGAGTTTCCTCCTTTTTGCCACATGATTATATTTGTTGGCTTGCTATAAATAATGGAAATATATTTATTTAAAGCTATCCCTTGCGGAGGCCCAGAGCATGAATCAATAAACATAATGACATCATGATGTCACAAGAATATCCAATTTAACTAAAAGCAAACACACAGAGAAAGCAATAATGGCAGTATAAATGGGAGTTGAAAGTTTTTCTGAAGCTGATGGCTTCTTCCAGATGTATTCAACAGATGTATTCAGCATTTCCAAGCACTTTCATCAAGGCAGAAAATCTGGATCTGTGTTTCTCAACCTTGGCCATTTTAAAACACATAGACTTCAATTCCCAGAATTCCCCAGCCATCCAAGCAAGTCACAACATGCTGGCCGAAAGGATACATTCCCTTTATATTTTTTTAAAAAGCAGCATCTAATTTTTATGCTTTCTTAACATTGATTTTAGAATCAATTTTGACGGCTTATATTTTAGTTAAAATTAGAAGCCCCTCAGAGAGGGCTGCTAATAGCAGAGTTGATTAAATAAGCTTTCTAAGATAATAAGACACAAATGTGCAAATATAGCTAAAAGTTTATACATACTGTGTACATCAACGTCAAAGAAAAATAACATACATGAGGAATATATAAAGCAAAACAACCCATCGTTTGCAGTCCATAATGGAAGAAAAAGGCCCCTTTTCACACAGAAGTATTTGTAGTTTTATAATGTCCAGAAAATATCAACAGTCAAGACGGGTGAGTGGAATAAAAGCAGAAAAAGAAATCTTGTATTTCTCTAGTAATGGGTGTGATGGATCCATCAGTCTGCTGTCTTCCTCATGTATTGGACTACAATGCCTCTTATTCTCCAAAGCAACACGGGGATGGGGTGAGGGTGGGAAGGAATCTTGTTAAAGAGAGGTCCAAACTAGAAGTAAGGAGACATTTTCTGATAGTGAGAACAATTAATCAGTGGAATAACTCCCCTTCAGAAGTTGTGGGTGCTCCAACACAGGAGGTTTTCAGAAGTAGATAGGACAACCATTTGACTGGGATCCGGCCTTGAGCAGGAGGTTGGACTAGTCTAGTAGACTTCCAAGACCCCTTCCAGCCCTATGAATCCATGTTCTGTGTTCCTCACCTGTCACCTATGAATTCCTAATCCACATGAGTTTCCTAAACTGAACTTGGAAGTGTTAAAGTTTTGAAATGCATCTGAGGGACTACCGAAGACTGAGGTAGCTCCTCCGTGGAGGAAGCCATCTCCTTTCTGTATTTGCTCCTAAATGAGGTGCCGCTGTCTTCAAATAGGGTTCTCCTGAATGCAGCCCTTATGTTGTAAAGAGTCAGCTTTCGGTGGAAGTCGATGCCCATGAAAAAGTAAAGGATAGGGTTGGCACAGCTGTTGAGGTAGGCCAGGAAGGAAGAGAGCGGGAGGCCGATAGAAAGTCCTAGGCCTTTCACTTCGGCCAACTTGAGGAGGAGGAAGATGTGGTATGGTGCCCAGCAGAGGAAGAACGTGACCACAAGAACCAGGATGACCCGGAAGGGTTTCTTGGAACGGATGGAAGCCCGCCGTCTCCTCAGCACCACGACAATGATGCCGTAGCAGACCACAATGATGGCAAAGGGGGCCAAGAACCCACAAATCAGTCTCAACATATAGATAACCAGCTTGGCAGTTTCATTTCCCTCCAGGGCAAAGGAGCACTTGGTCTTGTTAGACTTGTCAGTTTTTATGCCACGGTAGTGGTAGAAAGGAGTACTTGTGGCAATGGCCAAGAACCAAGCTCCGATGGCAGCGACCCATGCCAAGCGGCTGTCCCGGTGTCTTTTGGTCCATATTGGGTAGGCTACGCAAGTTGCCCGGTCTATGCTGATGGCAGCTAAGAGGAAGACGCTGCCGAACATGTTGAGATACTTGATGAAGCTGTTGGCTTTGCATAGGAAGCTTCCGAAGGGCCACCCATTATCAAAAGCATTCTTCAAGAGGGGCACAATCCGGGTGATTGAGAAGAGAAAGTCAGCCAGGGCCAGGTTGAAGAACCAGACACAGCTGATGGTCCGTGAGGTCTGATGGGCTGTGATCCAAAGCACAGCTCCGTTGCCCAGGGAACCAAGCAGAAAAAGAACAGCGTAGAAGAAGATCTGAAGCGTGTCCATGAGCCGGCTCACATCCAACTTGGCACCTGAAGATGATGGCAAGGATGCATTGGAAATGCACGGAGCGGTGAAATTAACATTCATGATGCAACAGGACTCTACAGAATGGGAGGATTAAGAAATCAGGTGGTCCTTCACCAGTCAACAAAACCTGGAAAAGGAGAATCAATGTTTTAGGAAGTGTCCTTTTTTTTAAATCATTTTTTTCCTGTCTTACTACTCTTACAGTCTAGTTTTGCGTCTTCCAATACATTAAAGTCTCCTACAACACAAATATTTTGATATTCCATTTCTAATATCTACTTATGTAACTTTTGGTAAAAAAAATTATTCTTGCTTTATTATTCGGCGCATATATTATGTCAACTCATAAACTATTTCTATGGTCTTTTTAGAGCTCCCAACAGAAATAGAGGGGGAAGGGGTTTTTTTGAAAGATCAGTGCGGCAGCTTGGAAAGAGAAAGTGCATTCCATAAATAGTTTTCAAAGATAGTAACTAGGTGACTGAAGTTTCTGCCATGCAAAATTCTAACTGGAGAACATGATTGATGACTCTTGGCTATGGATGTGTCTCATTGGAGGATCAAGGGTGTGTGTGGGGGAAACCAGGATCAAGGGTGACAATGAATTATGTGTCTCAGAGTTGGCTACACCCAGGCAATGCCAGACGTGTTAACTCCCAATAAATCCTTTGGAAGTTTTGGAAGTTTGGCTCGAGACTCATGATTTAATTGAGGTAACTGCTGGAATCCTGATATATTGCTATCAAAAATATCTGTTTTTGATTCATCTGTCAGCCAAAGCCTTGATCAATCTTGATTCAGATTCAGGGCTACCTAGCTGTGGCAGCCCTGGATCGAATGGAGAGTTGAATTGGAAACGCTGACATTATTGCTATTTCCACCATTAAAATCCTTCCTTCTTCATCTGCATATGTTTGTTTGGAGTTTATTGTTTCCTTAATATATAGAGATACCCCTCTTTTCTTTTGCTATGCTGATGAAAAAATATAATTTCCCAATTTTGGAACATTGCATTAATTTACAGTGCTGTCTTTTTTTTATATATATGAGTTTCTTGCAGGTGAATTATATCTCTTTTTAACTTTTGTAATTGTGTAAAAAAATTTCCCCTTTTATGGGGAAATTCAGTCCATTTATATTTATTGACAACATTTCACTTTATCTCTCCTTCTCCTTTATTTATGTATAGGTTTTATTCTCCTAGTTGTTCTTGTCTGTCTTTGTTCTTTTACCCTTGGTCCTTCTTGATCTGCCTTTTCTGTTTCTCCTTCTTCCGGTCGTATATTTCTCTCTTCTACTGTTGATTCCTCCTGTCCTTTATATTCCAATTCTCCTCTTGTTTCCTTTCCCTCAGGTGTGGCAATATGGCTATCCCAGAGGGAATTTTAGTTGGCTGGAATGATAAAAGATACAGACTGGACTCGATAGATAAGGCAACAGAATTTTATGATAATCATATCGACACAAATGAGAATCAATGTTATTTGATTTACAATTTCGGCAACAGCAAGCCAAGATATATATATAGGCCATGCATGTTCCCTCCCATGTGGTGCTCCCCAAATTCATCACTAGATGGTAGAATTTCAGCATCTCTAATCCAACAATTGGATGAACTAGTGACAAAGGAACTTTTGCCAAGCTCAGGGGAATCACCAGACATGGTCAAAAGGAGGAAGGAAGAAGGAGGGGTGTGTGTGCTATCTTCCTCTGTACCCTATGGAAATATAGGGTACTTCTGCATTTCCCAGGGGTTCAAAGAATGAAACTGCTGACGGTGCGAGCAGATGGTTTCGGATAGTGGCAGCTTCTCCAAAGTCAGAAATTTCAAATCAAAGGTCAGAGGGTGATTAGGAATTCTTGGGGAGCAGATGACTTACATTGTAGGGATGGGGTTGAATGTCCAGCTGTAGCACCCAATGCTTCTAAACACTTCTGTAATATTTATCTACCATTTTAATAGGGCTGCCCATCTCACCAAGTGTTTCAGGGCTACGTACAATAATAAATTAAAACAATAAATATATTAAAGCACTCATTATTAATATATATATATATATATTTAAAAACTAGAAATCCCAAGAGAGAAGAATGTGAACTTTAGCACTGGAGCTATCTCAAGATCATACCAGTTCTCTGAAATTCTCAGATTTAGCCAGTTCTTGAAAGTCTTCTGGTATATTAACAGGGATGGAGCTCACCTCACTTTAAGGAAGAGAATGTCTCATAAGGCAGGCACCATGGCAAAAAAAGACCATCCCCTGGGACCCCCAGATATAATTTCCTAACAAAAAGGACCTGCACCTCAGATCTAATGGACAGACATATGCAGTGGTGGGATTCATTCAGCCAGTTCACACCACTTTGAGAGAACCGGTTGTTAACTTTCTGAGCAGTTTGATGAACTGGTTGTTGGAAGAAATAATCAGGGCAGAGAACCAGTTGTTAAATTATTTGAATCCCACCACTGGACATACGTTAGGCCAATGTCAGGTGTTAGACATAATGTTAGACAAGTGTCTTCATAGATCCAGGGTCTGCTCCTATACTCGAGTACTTTTAATTATCAAAGATCTTCCATTCTTTTTTTTAAGGTTGGGAAGTGAACCCAGGTAGAGAAAAATCTGTAGAATTTTTCAGTCATCCAGGTCAAGTCTTTGACTGACTTTTAGCTATACATTTTGGGATGAACACCCCTTTGAATGGTATGGGAGTAGGAATGGATTTCCAGAGGAAAAATTTCAGGCTACAGGAACCAGGGGCACCACTTGGGTGAGGGCACAGATAAACCTCCAAGTGCTTCAACGACCCTCTAAAAGGATGCAAACGACCAGCCGTCTGAAAGGAATTACAATCCTTCCATTCCCCACTATCCTATCAGAGCTGAAGATGTTTTTGGATGAGAAACGAAATGTCTTCAAAAGTAAAAACAAGAAAGACCAGTTGCTTCCTGGAAAAAGGCACCTTTGGGTCAGGTAGGGAAAGTTAAGTAATACTTTAGTTGACTTCGGAATTTCTAGTTCTTTGGTAAAATCTCTTCCAATTAAACTACTTGAACACTTTGCGAAGAGAAATGCCCCATATTTTTGTGTACATTGCACAATGGGACGGTGCCACCAAGCTCCAGCATTCCCACAAGTACGCCGATATTAGAAAGTGTACACCTAGTTCTAATCAAACTGTTTTCCAATCCAGTCCAGCTGCTAAAGTCAAGTCAGCAAATCACACTGGACTACAACTTGTCTGGTTATCACAATCACGTACTTTGTAATGCACAACCACAAGACGACAAACTTCATTCTTGGCTGGCTATAAAACTGGTGAAACATGACAAGAACAGAACCCATCTCTTGAGACAAAGCAAATCAAAACACACCCACCCCAAATTTTGACAGTCTAGAAAAAATGTAGACAAGGACAAAACTGTTGTTGTTCTGGAATTCTTACAGTTCCCCCCAAAAGGTGGGGTGTCCTGGATTAAACCCTGAAATTACCTGTTTTAGGCTGCAGGAATTACGTCTTCTGTATTCTCTGGGCTCCCTTTACAAGAAAATGCAGATTTCTAGGCTGCCGCTTAGTTTCTCCGCCTGGCTGTGATTTTGGACCTCATCCAAAGTCAAGATTAACTCCTGCCGAAAAGAGGAACTTGAAGAAAACCTCTTCCTGCTGGATGCGATCATGCAGAATCTCTTCACTGTTGAAGGTTTGTCCCCTGACCAGGACAATTGTGTCTATGCCAGGCTGGGAAAAATGAGGGGAAGCATCATCGCAACTGCCAATTCTGCAGAACCAAGAATGCTCCTGAAATATTTCCCCTAGAACCAAGGGGACTAAGAGTCGAAAAATGTTGTCGGAAGGAAGCTTTTGAGAGGAGTGCCTTTTAATAAGGGAGGGCTGCTCTTGTGGTGGCTTAAATGGAATTCACTCGACATACGTCATGTGCATGGATCGAGCAGGGTGGTTGGGGTGTGAAAAGCCACTCTGCAGCTACCACAAAAAGTCAAGCCTCTGCTCAAGTGTCTTTGTTGGGTTCCTTCTGATTTATTTTTGAGGAACAGCATGATTTCCCGAACGTCCGTGATTCAAGAGAGCCCTTTCACATATTCCGGGCTCCAACTTTCCAAAACAAGTGTGTCACTCACAACCTCTGGCAAGCCATGCAGAGCCTATAGAACCTGTTGCCTTTATCTTGGAAGCTTCAAGAATGGTTGGAGATGGTCTCACCTGCCCAAACGCTTCAAGACTTGCTGAGTCTTCAGACTCTGTCACCTCCTCTGAAAAAGAACCATCGGGGAAGTCCTTGCAATCTGCTGATGTGGCTTGAAATTGGGAATGACTGATTGATGTTCCTCAGGCTGCTCTTCAGCCATCTAAACGAGTTGCATCTTGTTGCTGGAGAGTCAAGGGTTGGGCGAACAAGTTCTCCTGATCTCTCAACTCAAAGCAACTTATTGGCGGGGCTCACATGTACAGGAGTGCCTCCATTAATTTGACTGTTTGGGTTGAAGGGAGGTGCTTTAGATCCAAATGTTCCTGGTTCTAGCTCGCCTTCAGCCACAAGAATGAATTTAGACCAGTCTCTCTGCATCTTGACGCCATCTTCAATTGCCAAGTGCCTGAATTGTGTGACCATGGGAGGGTGGGGTAGTCGTAACTTCAGGAATGGGTTTTAAGTCATTTTTTCCCACTGTCATTAAGTGAAAAGTCTTAAGTTGAGGACTACCTATATATCAGCCCCTCCTCTAGCTTTCTAATCACCCAGATCCCACCTCAGCAGTGCCCCATGCAAGAAATTTCCTTCCTTCCTTCCTTCTGTCTCGTTCATTCATTCTTTTTCTTCCTTCCTTCCTTCCTTCTGTCTCTTTCATACTTTCTTTTCCTTCCTTCCTTCTTTCCTTCATTCTGTCTCTTTCCTTCATTCTTTTCCTTCCTTCCTTCCATCTCTTTCATTCATTCTTTTCCTTCCTTCCTTCCTTCCTTTCTTCCTTCCTTCCTTCCTTCCTTCTGTCTCTTTCATTCATTCTTTTTCTTCCTTCCTTCCTTTCTTCTGTCTTTCATACTTTCTTTTCCTTCCTTCCTTCTTTCCTTCATTCTACCTCTTTCCTTCTGTCTCTTTCATTCATTCTTTTCCTTCCTTCCTTCCTTCTGTCTCTTTCATACTTCCTTTTCCTTCCTTCTTTCCTTCCTTCCTTCCTCCCTCCCTTCCTTTCTTCCTTTCTTCCTTCCATCTTTTCATTCATTCTTTTCCTTCCTTCCTTCTGTTTCTTTCATACTTTCTTTTTCTTCCTTCCTTCCTTTTTTCCTTCATTCTGTTTCTTTTATTCTTTCTTTTTCTTCCTTCCTTCCTTCCTCCTCAGGGTTCCTAATTTTTCTCAGAATACATCTACTGTATCCATAGAGAAACTGTTCTTGGACAGATTTTATTTGATTTCCATGGGTAAGCTATCTTGAAAAGTAAAAAGTAAACATAATCTCAAAGAGTGAGACATGGTTTTAGAGTCTTACGTGTAAATGCTCACATATGACATGCTATAAATTTTTTCACCAATGCGGTGGATTTATTATTTGGAACCCTGACATTTACTGGGTACAGCTGTTGACCACAAAGAAGCAGAATGCAGAAAAGCAAACATTTATTGTACAAATTGTCCAAATGAAATAAAATGTATTTGCTGCTTCGTTCCATGAAAATGGATCGGATAAGTGACAACAGCCCTCTTCAAGTCCTAAGAGTAATGTGTATTGCTTTTGTCTAGACCAGCGGGAGGGAAACTTTTATCACTTATGGACTTCAACTCCCAGAATTCCAGAGTGAGCCATAAAAGGTTCACCATCCCTGGCCTACTGGTTTTTCAGTTGTGGGGGAAATCAATTTTTGACTTGAATGGGACTGTTTAATATACAAATGTTCTCCTATATCAGCCTTGCTATCTGAGGAATTCTGGGAGTTGAAGTCCATACATCTTCAAGCTGCCAAAGTGGAAAAATATTAATCTTGACAAATCTCGGAAAGAGCCATTCCCTATGTTGTTTAGGATTTTTGTCTTAATGAAAGTGAATGCTTGTCTATGTGTTAAAAAAGTTTGTTCTTAAGTAATTTTGGTAGTCAAGAGTTTTCCCTTAGGAAAACTTAGGGAAATGTCTACTAAGAAATTACTAGACAATTTCCGATCTACTCATCTGGGGAAAGATAGCATTTAAAGTTTAGCATTTATTCCCTTGACACCAAGACCAAACCACCCACGTTGTTAACTTGATCTAATTTATTCCAAATATATCTTATTATTTATTTTTATACTACAGGCAGCCAACCCAGCTCTGTCTGTTGGGTGCAGGTCAAGTGGATGGAAAAAATGAAAGATTTTAATTCTTTCTTTCAAGAAAATAACTACGATACCTTCTTCAACTAAGTAAGGAAGATAGAAGAAAGACACACAACTGAAGAACCGCATATGATAGTCATGCACAATCTGAGAATGACTATCAGTAACCTCCCCCACACAGCCCTATATATAGACAAACAACGGGCTTAACAAGGTTGTGTAGTGTTTCTTTTGTGCAAGAGTAGTCTGTATCCTCTATCCCACGCCTCCATTTTTCTTTCCTTCCTCTTCTCCAATTCCCTTTTCTACACTGTAGGTCTTGGTCAACCTCAGACAAAACATGGTCTTAATATTATGTAAGAAAATCTGTAGTTATTGAAAGACGTTTTCTCCTTAAAAAAAAACAACCCCTACCTCTGTTATTTTTCCCTCAGTTTAATCATTTCACTGAATTGGGCTCCAAATTGTAGTCAGTAGATGAGTGGCCATTAAGAAATTTGGAACCAGATTTTTATTTGTATTTGCTAATCTCGGCTCGCTAAGCCAAAGCAAGCTTTAAGAAAGCTAGGTTTTTGCCACCTAATGACTGCTCTGTATGTGGTAAAATCTGACATGTCCAGAAATCCCTTGAAATTCTCTTTCTTTGAGCAATATTTCAGACGGACCTCCCACCATCTAACTGTGGAGGAACAGGGTGAATTTACACTTGAAAGAAACTTGTAGGCCTGTCCTAGACTTGGTGATGCTGCAATGAACAAAGCCAGAAATTCCTTCATTAAGCTACCAGGTCTTTGTCTTCTGGCTCTGTGTTCCTCAACCTTGACCACTTGAAGAGGTGTGGACTTCAACTCCCAGAATTCCCCAGCCAGCCATACTAGCTGCGGAATTCTGAGAATTGAAGTCCACACCTCTTCAAGTGGCCATGGTTGAGAAAAACTGTCCTAGCTCATCAAAGATTGATGGTTTTAGAAGGTAGCACCTCATTCCCTTTGATCTCTCCATTAGGATTCCTTCTAGAACACTGCTGGACAGGAACCCTTATCTCTTCTTTCAAACCTCACATACGGTATTTCAATCAGAGTGGTCAATGTCTGGAATACTCTACCCGACTCTATAGTTTCTTCGCCAAACCCCAAAAACTTTAACCTTAGACTGTCTACTATTGACCTCACCCCTTTCCTAAGAGGTCTGTAGGGGCGTGCATAAGCGCACCAACGTGCCTACCATCCCTGTCCTATTGTTTCTTTTATTTTTATTTTATTTTTCTTATATGTACCCATTTCATGTATTCATAACTATGTATACACTTATACTTATTATCTTGTAAACAATTGACAAATAAATAAAATAAATAAAATAAATAAATCTCAGGTTACCCTCCTTCCTTCCTTGTTTTCTTGTTGTGCAAAACAAGAAAAAATACTACGGTATTATACAGATCTCTCTCCTTGTTTTGCCTCGTAGCATGAAAATGGCAAATAATAACAGTGGTGAGCAACAAGAAGCAACACAAACACACACACACACACGCACAAACACACACCCCTGCAAATTTCCTAAGCAAGGCACTTTGTTCAGCCATGTTGCAATCTCTTTATTTGTTAATATCTTTCCAAGTCCAGTTTTCCTTGAAAATTATTACTTTGGCAAGAGTCACAATTAAAACTCTTTACAAACAGGAACAAAATAAACCGAATGAATAATAACAGCACCAGATGTGTTTAAACTTTTGGGATTTGATTTGTTCCTGCTTTGGAACAACAAGGAAGGGGGGTGGATCGGTGGGATTTCTGCTGAGATTCAGTAGTTGGGTTCATACAACACATCCTTCACCCAAGTGAACTAAGTACAATTTCTAGGTTCATGTAACATGCTATAACCAAATGAATAAACTGTATTATGGCTTAATACAATGACCTGGTTCATTATAACATTCTAAGACAATGGATGGAAAGAAACGCACAAACAACCCTCATTTGAGTTTAGTCCAGGGTGTTGTGTGAACTTAGCCAAAACTTCAATCTTTGTCTTATCCCTTGATTTGGTGTTCTATTGCTTTGATCTCAGTTTATGGAGCAGATGTTTGCTGTTTGGCTCCAGGTTCAATTCAGTAAGAGAAGGTAAAACTTGAAATCTATCTCCCCTGCAAATGTTGAAAACAAACATGTCTTGTGTGTGCAAATTATGGTATGTACTTAAAATTGCCGTCTTAAAAGGTTTGGTTTCCTATTTTGCACAATTTGTCTTGTGAGGGTTATAGTTTGATTCATTTTATTCACTCACTGAAGTCAGGTTAGATCCTCTTGAAAAAGTAAAGAGCTACATATATTGATTTTTGACGTTCATAGCTCTACTCCAGCATTTCAGGATTAAAATCCAAATGTTAAATTTTAAAATCCAAGTTTAATGAAAGTTAAAATTCAAGTGGCAACAGCCCACCTAACTCTACACTCTCTTCCTTGTGTAAGGTCTCAACCGATACACTTCCATCACCTACCAAAATGAGGTGGACCAGTTGCTTTCGTGGTGTGGAGACAATAACTTGGTCCTTAACACCAATAAAACCAAGGAGCTTATAGTGGACTATAGAAGGAACAGATCAGACATCCAGCCCTTGCTTATCAATGGAGACCAAGTGGAGCAAGTGGCCAGTTTTAAGTTTCTGGATGTTACCATAAAAGAGGACTTGACCTATTGCAGCCCTGGTCAAAAGGGCCGAGCAGAGATTATACTACCTGAGACTTCTCAGGGAACAACAACTGAATGGAAAACTGCTGGTGACCTTCTACTGCTGCACCATAGAGAGTATCTTAACTTATTGCACCTGTGTAGAGTTTGCCAATTGCACCAGGGCAGATAGGACAGCGCTCCAGAGGATCATTGGTTGCCCTCTCCCCTCTTTGGAAGAGCTTTATAGCTCCCACTGCCTTAAGAAAGTTCAAAACATCCTCAAAGATCCATCTCATTCTGGGTACCCTTTTTTTTGAACTATTACCATCTGGCAGACGGTACAGGATAATAAAAACAAGGACAAATAGGCTGAAAAACAGTTCTATCCCAGGGCAGTATCTCTTTTGAATTCTGCTGTATAGTGCAGTGTTGGTCTGGTGTCAGGGATTTTCGGTTCTATGTGTGGAGAGTGAAGGACGTGTGTTTGCATTTATTTTCATGGTCATGGTCATGATGTGCACTGGAGATGGTGTTTGATTTCGTTGTACGAGGTGCAATGACAATAAACTAAACTAAACTAAACTAAACCTCCTGGGACTCAGGCACATTTTGGCATTCATGATTTCTAGAACACTTTGATAGGGTTAAGTCATTAGGGCCCACGCAAAAAGCTGATTTATTCACTGTTGTCGGTTTCACATCGTTAAGTAACAGCTTAAGTGCAACTGCACTTAAAAAAATATCTGCACCTTCTTTCTGACCTCTGTCAAATCAAAATTTATGCCAATCACCAAAACTCTGGAAGTCTGATCAGCACAAAATCACATTAGAAGAGGAGGGCAGGAAAATAACCCCATGCAAAAGAAATTTGTCTTTGTTTTTGGGGAGAACAAAACCAGGTTTCGCTGCTCATAAACATGAGATGAATCATATAACAGAGCAGTGAAAAATAAAGTTACGGGTAGTTCTGGATTTAAGATCACAATTGAGACCAGATATTTTTTTTTTAACTGTTAAGTAAGGGCTTAAGTGCCTTATGCCCAATTTTACTCTTTTGGCCATGGCTGTTAAATGCAGATGTTAAATCACTGCAGATGTTAAATGAGCTGTCTAGTCATTAAGTGAATCTGGCTTCTCTCCTTGTCAGGAACCATCTGGGAGTGTCACAAATGATGATCCACTTCACCCTGGAATGCTGCAACTATTGCAAATATTTGCCCATTGCCAAGCGTCCGAATTTGGACCACATGACTTTTTGGATGCTGTGACGGTCATAAGTGCAAGGAATGGTTGAAGGACACTTGAAGGTTAACTTTGAACGATCACCCAAAGAAGGGCTGAAAGTCAAGGACTACCTGTTATAGAGAAGGCGCACCAAAGGAAAATTTATTTCCGATTACTCAAATGTCATAAATAGGACATTATTACGTCCAAAATGCCAGCTTCTCGAGAAGAGGCCTAGGACAGGCAGGTAAAACAGAATAACAGGACGATAGAGTCCAACCTCCGGTTTGGAGCGGGAGAGATCGTACCAAATGAGGCAAAGCTGTACGCGATAGGCTTTGATCTAGTGAAGAAAAAAAAAGGAGAGGGGGAGAGGGTTGAATGTCAACTCACTCCTTGGTTCACCTTCACAGACACAAGCCAAGGAGCAGAAAAGTCACCAGGGCTGAGCCCTGCAAGCCTGTCACACCTCCCTTCGGCCCACCAACATGTCTTTCTTCAACATTCACGGAAGGGACCACCTTCCTATTTTGAACAACGGTGTTGTTCTCATCCTCTTCGTGACTGTGGTCGTGGTCGTGGTCGTGGCCGTGGTCATGGCTGTGGTCCTTCTGAGGGCCACCCACCGACGGGCTCACACCAAGAGAACGGGCGAGCTTGCCGGAAGTGGAAGCCGCCGCCGTGGCTGCGTTGATCCGGACGTATGTTGAAGGGGTAGTGACGGTTGCGTTCTTGGTCTCTTGAGCAGGCAGGAAGGCCAGCCTTGGGATGGAGGTGGAGAAGTGTGTTTTGTTGGAGAGGTTCGTGTTGCAGAGATTCCCTGAGCAACAGGAGCCCGAGAGGGTGATGGCAGGACTCCCTTTCCTGACCTTGGTACAGTCGCCATCTTGAACACATCCTTTGATGGGTTTGGTCAGTGAAAAGTTCCCTGGAAAAGAGGAGAAGAAGAAACTCTGAGGCAGCTGTCCTCCTTTAAGGATTACAGTTTTGGTCCAAAGGGTTATTTCTCCTCCCTCCCCTCCAGCCCCATTCCAAATCAAGTACGCTTTGTGTCCAGAACCAAGGGCTTTTTCTGAGGTCGAGGTCAACAAAACAATGCATTGTGTTTAATCTTTGTTAAAAAGTCAAGAATGCGAATAGTTGGTCAAATCTCTCTTCCCAACAGCTCTGGAGCAATTTTGTAACTCTTTTTGAAAAACAAGAAGGAAGGATGTATCTCTGGCAGAGAAATATAAATGCTGTGTTGTTTTTTTAAAAAACAAATAAGTAGAAAGTTTTTTTTTTAAAAAATGGCATAATTATAGTTCTTAAAAGTTTGCCATTCTCTGAGCAAGACTGAATGCTCTCTTTTAACTTCTGCTTCTATCCCTTTTTACTATATATTGGAGAACGTGATTTCCTACACGATTAGAAAATAATTTTTATTTCAGCTGGGCTATGATGGCCTTCACTCAGGGGACACTGATCCTTTACTCATCCTCTTAGCTCCATTAATCCATTCTTCCCACTCCTTTCCTAGGAAAGGAAGAAATCCAACATATTTAAGGGCCCACAGTCGGTCTCCGGAATCCCAAGACAGCCAAATTAGTCACATTTTTTTTAATGACCTTCAGAGGTCTCACCTGCTTTCATGGTGACATTGCCATGGAAACAACCCCGGAAATTATCATAACACTTGACAATGGTAGAATTGTCTGTTGTGCAGTTGTCTCCCTCACAGCTGTAGCATTCCACTCCGTTGGGAATCTGCGCACTCACGTTATCTGGAGATAGAGCCATTAAAAAAAGGGGGGGGAATAGCATTATGAAGGATGGAAAAGATATGAACTTTACATTGGATGAATTCCAGAAGAAGCACTTGAACTGCGTTGGGCCAGGCGTACTTATAATTTTTTCTTAAACCTAGCACCAAGATTAGCCTAAAGAGGCTTTTGAAACCAGTCCTAAATTTAAATAGACTGCCTCTGTTAGTTATTGATTCAGCTGTACTCCACATTTCCTTCCCCAGAAAGAGACCTAAGAAAACAAAACCATTACAAGCATTGCACACTAGGCAAAAAAAGCTCTTAGCCTGAGAACACAAAGGCATGGCTGAAGAAACACCTTGGCCTTTTTGTTCTAGGTTAACTGGCTTTGTGGTTATTGTAAGTTTTACACAAAGCATTGTAACCATTGTTTGCAGGCCTCGGGATGACAAAAGACAAATATTCCCTGAAGGTGAGCTCATTTCTATGGCAACACATCAATGTAATTTTCTGTGGCTATCTAGATGAGTGTTTCTAAACTTTGACAATGTTAAGATGCATGGACTTCAACTCCCAGAATTCTCCAGCCAGCCTGTATTTTTTTTTTCATTACTGTATTTTTTCCTCACAGTAATTCCCCATTATTGCTATTATTGCTGTGTTGTTTTTATTATTATCATGATTATATTTTTATTCTACCCTTTTATATATAATTTAAGACAGTGAACATATCTGAGACTTCTGCCTTCTATTTTCCCACAGCAGCTCACAGAGTTGAACTGAGATAGACTGGCCCAAAATCACCCAGCCGGCTTTCATGCCTACGGGAGACCTAGAATGTATTCTATTTACAATTTACTTAATTTACAAGCTGGGGATAATCCATATTTGGAAAGTTCCAGTTTATTAAGGACTATCCTCTTTTAATGACCCCATAATCCCTTGTGGGATAGAATCGGGGCAACCGAATGGAGCTGAGCGTTTACTGGCCAGATGCCTTTCCTGTCACCAATGCGGAGTTTTTTTCCCCCAAGCAAAGATATGCTCATGTGCCCAAAGAGAGATATCTGTCTCGACCTAAGATTGAACTCACAGCCTTCTGATTGTGAGGCGAGAGCTTCACCTCTAGGCCACTGCACCAATCCTCCCAGCTTATTAAATATTCTGTGAAAATATTCTGTGAAAATATTCCACTATTCCGCAGGGACATAGTAGTGGATAAAACTAACAATCTTCTTTAAAGAAAAAAAAAATCATCATTCTTATGTGGGCTGGGGTTTACCCATGGGTTGTAGCTGCAGTTCTTTCATGTCCAGTTTAATGTTGCAGAGGCTTGTGTTGCACTGATGCAGCTGAGAGAAGGCCAGGATGCCATGCACTTCCACCGCCTTGTCGTTGGTTCCTGGCATGCCCAGCCCGCAACCCTTTTCGCCAACAGAGAATTTCCCGTGACCTGAAAGAGCAAAGAGGTTACAGAGGAAGATAAGATGGCTTAGAACCAAAGATGGCGCCTTTAAGACCTTGTGGACTTCAACTCCCAGAATTCCCCAGCCAGCCACAAAAAGCATTTGCTGTCTGATGTGGGGCGGGGGTGGGGGAGAAGGAAGTCGGGGGTACCAGCTGTTATAAGTTGATCATGGAATGTGTGCGAATGTTGCTTCTTCTCTCCATGTGTGGCACCTTCTCTCCAGAATTTGTAGCCTCCCACCCTTCTGTCCTTATCCAAGTTAATTTGTTGGACTTAGTTAAGAGCCATGAATGTACTGTCAACTCGTAAATCATTCCTATGCCTATTTCCGAGGTGCCATAAGAAGGAGGGGGGAGGCCTGAAGGAGCAGTGTTGCAGATGAAGGCCAGAAGCACATTCCACACTTATCTTGTGGAGATTGTAGCCTAGGATACTGGATCTTCTGCCCATGAAAATCTTTCATTGGAGAGCATGATTGATGACACCCAGCCCAGTGTTTCATTGGAGAATCTGATATATGACACACCCAGGGGGGTGGGGTGGGTGGGAAAAAGGGTCATTGGTGATAGTAAATTATGTGTCTCAGAGTTGGCTTCATACTGGTTAGTGCTGGACATATTGCTCCTAATGAATCTTTTGAATTCTTTTGAAGCTTGGCTCGAGGCTCATGATTCAGTTAGGGCAATCGATGGAACCCTGACACGTACAGGCGCTGGGAAATTCAGCAAGCCAGGGAGGCTGCAAAGAGTCTCCAATATTCATCACCAGCTTATTGACAATCAGGGACGTGGAAAGGGACCCTCAAAATGAAAGCAAAAATATAGGTAGCCCTCAACTTACAACAGTTCGATTAGTAACAAAAATTACCGCAGCGCTGAAATAAGTGACTAATGACCATTTTTCACACTTATGACCGTTGCAGCATCCCCATGGTCACCTGACCAACATTTTGGATGCTTGGCAATTGACTCATATTTATGACAGTTGCAGGACCCTCTAGGTCATGTGACCTTCTGGCCAGCTAAGTCAATGGGGAATTCAGATCCACTTAACAACCGTTAGCAGTTGCAGTGATTCTCTTAACAACTGTGGCAATAAAGGTAGAAAAATCGGGCAAAACCCAGTTAACAGCTGTCTCGCTTAGCAACAGAAATTTGGGGCTCAGTTGTGGTAGTAAATCAAGGACTACCAGTATTTATTTTTACTGAATTTATATGCCACCCATTCTCACTATTGGTGAGACTATTCTACTGACTCAACCCTGGCCAAGGGAGAAAAGCATCAGAGAAACCAAAAAAAATCAAAGTTTTGCACTTGCAGAACTAAAGAAGGAATCCAAAACATCCCCCTTTGGGCCAGAAAAAGCATTTGTAGCTACTCACTCCATTCCACAGCAGCCACGGTTTCCACGCAAACATGGACATTGCTTGGGCAGGTCAGCTTTTTCATCTGCTGCTGACTGCAACCACCATCTCCCAAGTCCACACAGCTGTGGCATTCCAGAGCCAAGGCACCTGTATAGGGCAGATGTCCAAAATGAGAAAAACCCAATTAAAAGAGTGAAATTATACTGATGTAGACCAGAGGTGTCCAACCTTAGCAACTTTAAGGCCTGTGGACTTCAACTCCCAGAATTCCACAGCCAATTGGCTGTGGAATTCTGGGAGTTGAAGTCCACAGGCCTTAAAGTTGCCAAGGTCGGACATCCCTGATGTAGATTTTCATGGGAAACATCAATGAAGCCGAGATGAACTGTGGGGTAAGGACCACAGCCAAATTTTCTTTCGTTCGGGCGGCCATTCTCTTTCTCCGCTCATCACAACTTTATTAAATGAGGGATATTTGATTTCAGAAGTTGCGGGTCTCCAACATTGGAGGTTTTAAAGAAGAGATTAGATAAACATTTGTCTGAAATGGGATAGGCTTTCTTGTTTAAGCAGGACTAGAAGACTTTCTCAAAAACTTTGGCCACCTCGTGAGAAGGAAGGACTCCCTGGAAAAGAGCCTTATGCTGGGAAAGATTGAGGACAATAGAAGAAGAAGGAAGGGACGGCAGAGAATGAGGTGGCTGGATGGAGTCACTGAAGCAGTCGGTGTGAGCTTAAAGGGACTCCAGAAGATGGTAGAGGACAGGAAGGCCTGGAGGAATGTTGTCCATGGGGTCACGATGGGTCGGACATGACTTCACAACTAACAACAACAACAGAAGACTTCCAAGGTCTCTTCCAATTCTGTTATTCTGTTTTCACTAGGACTCCTGAATAGCTCTGAGATTGAAATTATAAGGAAAAAGATAAGATAAATTGTATGTTGTGAAAGAGCACCTTATTTCGTTGTTCTCAGGTTTCTGAGTACAATGAGTACAATGACAATAAATTTATCTTATCTTATCTTATCTTATCTTATCTTATCTTATCTTATCTT